ATCCTCCCCACCCCGCCCCACCAGAAGCAACAGTCTGCTTTCTATCATCAAAGATGAGTTTGTCCTGTTTTAGAACTACATGTTAATAGAATCAGAAAGTATGTATTCTTTATTTAACTTCTTTCTTTGCCTGTCCACCCACATGTATGCCTGTGCATCAGAAGGTCTTGCTTTTACACTGCTGGATAATATTCTTTTATGACAACTCCACACTTCATTCTCCTGTTGATGGGCATTTGCAGCTGATTTCTGCTTTTAGTTATGAAAAAAGCTGTCATGAACATTCTTGGAAAAGGCTTTTTGCAGACACATGTTTGTATCTGTCTTGGTTACACACCCAGGACTGGGTCACAGGAAAGATGCAGGTTTATAAGACACCACCAGTCTTCCAAAGTGGTTGTACCACTCTGTACTACGCAAGAAAGAGAAGGCTTTCTGCTCCCATGAGGACTTAAAGCCTCGGAACCCCTATACAGGGTTCTTATGACGGCACTTTAACAACATGTGGGTAGTGGTTATCTCAGTGAAGCTAAGGAAGTCTTTTAACTCTTTTGTGACCTGTGGGAAACAGGGCCCACCTACATTTTCTGCCTCTAAGGTTTGATATGTGCTGCCATGATGTGGAGGCAGATCTAAACGTGTAAATCTAAAGAAGTGGGCCTTATGTTTCTCACTAATTATATCAAGAAGTCCTGGTATGGTGCTGTAGGATAAATACTGGACTGCTAATTGCAAGGTTGGTGGTTCAAACCCACCAGTCACTCCTTGGAAACCCTATACTAATTGCTATGAGTCGGAACCGACTTGATGACACTGAACAACTGTATCCTAATCCATACTGTTGTTATTGTGTTGTTAGGTACTATCATGTCAGTTCTAATTTATAGCGACTCCGTCTAGGGATTCTAAGGCTATATATTTTTACACAAGAAGAAAGTCTCAGCTTGCTCCAGCAGAGCTTCTGGTTACCTTAATGCTTTTGTCTTCGTTTTGTTTTTTCTTCATCGCACTTAAAATGCCTTCCATTTGTTGAAACACAAGGTTTCAACAAAAATTTAAAGCAGAAAGGGTTAAAAGTAAAACCAAAAATAAAGGTGGAAAGTCTTACCCTTTCAGTTGGTCAGGACTAAAGCAGCGTATTTCAGGGAGCCAAGCTGATACTTCATGGTCATGAGTGAGGTACTCTTTGAGAAGGTTCCTTTTATCTGCAGGCTTACAACTCTTGGAGGAGCTCAAGGTCACAGACAGCTGCTTGAGAATGAAAGCAGTCTGCTGACAAATTTCATCAGCATGTTGTGTTGCCACATGTCTGTGGATGCTGGTCTGGTCCTTGAATAGTTGTTGACAACATTTCCACCATTTTTCTTTACATTCCAAAGGAGATGCTGGAACTTCCGTGGTTTTGACAAAAAGGGCAAATGCCTGCAATTACGTTTCATATAATACCGCTATTAAGTAAGTTAAGGCAAACGAAAATCTCAGTGAAATCTTTATGTAACCTTGCCACAGGGGTTTCTAGTTTTATGTCCTCCTATTTTAGGTGCTGTGGGTTAACGCGCTAGACTGCAAAGCCATTTGAAATGCATCGTCAGTGGTTCAAGCTCACCAGCCGCTCCTCAGAAACCCTATACAGGGTCGCTATGGGTTGGAAACAACTCAATGGCATTTAACAACAACAACAACAACAACAATTTTATAGAAGAGTTCCATGAGAGTGGATCAATTCTCTTGCCACTAAGCTTTGGTGGTGGTTATGTGCCATGGAGTCAGTTCTGACTCATAGCGACCCTGTACAGGGTTTCTGAGGCTGTAAATCTTTACTGGAGCAGAAAGCTTCACCTTTCTCCCACGAAACAGCTGGTAGTTTCAAACTGCTGACCTTGAGAGGTTCGCAACCTGACCCGTAATCACTATGATACCAGAGCTCCTTACTACTAAGATTTAGAAGAGATTATTTTGTTGAGAGGTTAAAACTGAGTTTTGTATTATGAAGGTTAATTCCCAGCACCATAATTTTCCTCTCAAGCTGTATGTCACACTGGAAATATATTTATATAGTCTGACCTTATGTTGCTTTCAGCAGCACACATACTAGTATCAGAAAAAGGTATATAGCATGTGAACATTAACATCGATTTTGGCTTTCCACAGCTGGTTTCTCTCTCAACTTACTGATCCTCTTTTTCCACACAGGCCTAGGTGGACACCTGACTGTTTCCACTAACCTGCCATCCCTCATGTTGTTCCCAGCCTGTGCAATGCCCCATTCTTACCTCCCTCTCCTACTGAATGGCTTTAAATCATCTACAGTACATCTCAGAGGCCACCTTCAAAATGAAATATTCTATGGTCCTCCTATGAAGGGTTACTTCTCCATCTTCTGAATCTTCATAAAAGTTCCAATTTTTATATTCAAAGGGATTCTGGAGTTATAAACACTGACTTTGCTATTTACTATTTGTATCTTTGAAAAAGGATACAAAGCTTTTGATAAAACTATTCAAACTTCTTTATGCCAAGACTTCTTTATGACAAGACTTTGTCATTAAGAATTATATAAATATTAAATAATATAATTTTGATTATTTATGTCTTATCTAATTCTTGACTGAAACTTCTTTTGCTTAACAGTTGAGAGCCTGGGGTTCTAAGGAGAATGACTTGTCTGAGAAAATGCAAATGAGACTTTGTATTTTTGTTACTTCCATTCTATTGCTCTCTCCTGCAAAACTATCTTTTATTGACTATGTCAATGACGAATAGATGGTCTATGAAAAAAGGTTACATGGCACAGAAAGAAACATCATTACTACTGCATTATAGCCCAATCCCAGCTGTACTCAGAATGCGTGACTCATTTTAGGGTCCTTTTTCTCAAGCAGTGGAGCCCCCAACTGGAGCAGATCAGAAGCCTTACCTCACTAATCAGCAGGATTTAGGGACAGTTTCAAGTTTGGTCACCTTGCTGTCTATCTGTTATATTCATGACAGACTCCTGGGTTCCTAGGATTTCTCCCAGAGCCTTGGGTGGGGAAAGGAGTCGAGTCCATCTGTCGAAGATTGGCCCTGTTCCAGGGCCACATCTTGCCAGGGATTCCTTTGTCAGGCACTGGCTTAGCATCCCTGCTTAATGCCACTGAGTAGGCCTGACTAGTCTCACTAGTTCTCCATTTCCTGGAGGTGACACTTGATGAGCTAATTCTAGACGTACCGGCATTAATTATACTGACATAATCCTGACAAAGAAACAGTCACTTTACCTTTTTCTTTGCAAAGGAGTATTTCTTCTTTGTACTGCCATCTAACTCTGCTTTGAGACGGCTACTAGGACTGATATGAGTTGTGCCTTTTAAATCCAGGTCTGAAAATCTCAAAACACAGGCCTCCAGGTCACCTCCTTGGTCTGCTAAAGTGGAAGAAGGCATCTGGTTTGGCTGCCGTCGTTGAGTAGAGAATTCCTTCAGGTAACTACCTCCTAGGATGGATCAAACATGTAATCAATCAAGATGTACTGATAATTACTGGTGATTGGAATGCAAAGGCTGGGAGCAAAGAGAAAGGATCAGTATTTGGAAAATATGGCCTTGGTGATAAAAAATGATGCTGGAGAATACATGATAGAATTCTGCAAAATCAATGATTTGTTCATTTCAAATACCTTCTTTGGACAGCATAAGAGAAGACTATACACATGAACCTCACCAGATGGAATACATA